CGCGGAGAGGCGCCTCAAGACGACGAGGATGGCCGACGTGCAGGTCGGGCCCCATGCCGAGAATCGAGGTATGCTCGGGGCGATCGGACGATGTTTTCCTCCGTTCTGGGGAGGCTCGAGGGTCGAGGCGCGGTGTTCGAGGAGCTGTTTTGCAGCTTTCGGCGTCAGGTGTCCCGTCTCTGGCCCGGGGGCGTCAGGATGGGCCCTGAGAGCGGTTCTGGGGATCCCCATCTGGAAGGTCGGGCCCAGATGCGAGGATGTTTTGTTTGTTTGTTTTGCTTTTGCTTGTGCTGCTGGTGCTGCTTGTTGTTTTTCTGCCTTCGCTCCTCTTCGGGCATCTGGAGTCGCCCAGAGGGCTCCGGGAGGACCGCGCCGCGACCGCGCTGGCGCGGGCATTCCGAGGTGGAATGCCGCCACCGTCGGCCACCACTCGGCCAGTACTCCAGATTTCGTAACAAAGGGAGGGGGGTCTCATTTCGGGGGGGGTCTCTTCCAGGCTATCTTGGAGGGCCTGGTCTGGGGACGATGTTTTGGAGGGTTCTCCCACGGGGGAGGTCTGAAATGGCTTGTCTTTGGAGGGTCCAGACCCCCTCCCTTTTATTACGAAATCTGGAGTATTGAATGACCTCGGCGGTCGGGGAGCGCCCAGGCCATTGCGGCGTGACTCTGCCCTGCTTGGGTGTTGGAGGGGCCGCTGCCTCGGCTGGCCGCACCGGCCTGCTCTGCGCGGAACTGCGCCACGCCTGCGCGCTCTCCGCTCGCCCTCCCCCCGCGCGGCCGCCCTCGGTCAATTCGCCTTTCGGTTGCCCCGGCGGGAATCGCCACACTCTGGAGCGGACTGCCTCTGCCTCGCCGCCGACGGAGGGCGTGCTTTGGGGGCCGTTCTGGACTCTTTTCGGTTTTGTGTGGCCTCGCGAGGCCTCCCTCCACAGAGGCTTCCCGGGACATTGGGGGCTTTTTGGGGCCTCTGCAGATCTCCAGACGCTGCGAACAAGTTGCAACTCCATGGGCACATGGTGATACGAGTTCTAGACCTCACCTTTCTTTGGAGCTCGCTGAGGGGCAGTGAGCTTCAAATGGGGCGACGGAGGAGGGGCGGCGGAGGAGGAGGAGGAGGCAATGCTCCTGAGGTAAGAGCAAATCTAAGCAGCCCAATCGTCGGCAAGAGCGGACATGAGATCCGAGCTTCTTGCGACTGGGGGCTGTAAGGATGGCTATTGACGGATCAAGCGCGCCGGCCGGGCATATCGGGATCTGGCCCTGGAACAATTCAGGAGGGGAAAACACACAGGCACAATTCATCGTCTATCCCCCAGAAAATATGGGAACGTATGGGAATTGTGGGGGAAGAGGCGATCGCCCAGAAAATATGAGAAAGTATGGGGCATCTTGGGATTTGTGTATATTTATTTGTACCTCTGGGCCCCTCATATTTGCTGCCCCCCCCCCAGCGACCTCCAAACCTTTTTCGAGCTCGTCTCGACTCGGACCGATCCGAGAGAGAGGGGGCCGCGAAGCTTGGAGAAGGAGCTGGGCGGGCACGCCCGGCGTTCAGAGCAAAGGCGACGCCCAGACCTCAAGGGAGGCCTCGGAAGACATTCGGCGCTGCCGTTTTTTTTGTTTTTGTTTTGTTTTTCTTCTCGCAGCGCGGCCCCCCAAGGTCGGCCACGCCCAGTGGGGGTGTACTAGGATAACCCCTCTGAGCTATTTGAGGCACTTGTAGCCCACTTGGAAGCCAGGGCGGGCCAGATATATAACCCACCTTGGCATCCACTTGCGACCCCCCTATCCGCTCAGCACGCTCAGCACTCCCCGCGGCGATCCCAGTATGGAGGAGGGGGGGAGGCTTCTTTGAAGCACCCCTGCTTCCCAGACCCCCGACGTCATGATTTTTTCATGACGTCGACCCCCAGAGGTCTCGACCCCTTCCCCGGGACCGGCTTCTCATCCTGAGTCGTTTTTTGACGTTTCCGAGGCCAGGTAGGGCCCCCAAGAGGCCGAAAATAGAGAAAAACTGTCCGTCGTGATTTTTGCATGACTCGAGGGGATCTGGGCTCTTAGAAGATAGATGTGAGGCCGGTCGGTCCCCCCCGCATGCCAGTCCCCCCCCTGTCGTGGCCCTTCAGGGGGGGGGGGGGGGATGCCTTGGGCCGCGGACTGGAACCGTCGCATCGTCGGCTGTGGGGGCATGATTCGGGTATTGCCAGGACACCAGGCAAGGGGACCCAGGACCCCAGGACCCCAGGTATAGCCAGGACCCCAGGACGTAGGGCCCTGGAGTCCCTAAATTGGCCGGGGTCACTAAACCAGGTCTGCCGTAGCTAGTGCTTTTTCGGGTGATGGCAGTTCCGGCTAGTGGAACGGGGCGGGTGGGGGCGTCCCCCAGTACACGTCACTAAACCAGGTCCCACTAAGCCCAGTTCTGCCAACGCCCGAGCATGGTCTTCGAGCGGATGAGATCGTGGCGGCCAGTTGTTCGACGTCTTCGGCGTCCAGCGAGGCCGCTCCACCGGCCTTGGGGCAGTCCAAAGAGAGGGGGTGCGACCCTGACCCAAGTCGGCCACGCGCAGAAAGGGGCTTGGGGGACGGGTGGAAGGCTTCTTAGAAGTAGGGTGCTTCTTTGAAGGCGCGGGCCTTGTCTACAGATGTAGGGCTGGCGCCTTCTAAGAAGCAGCCCCCTTCGATCGAAGAAGACAAAAACACATAAACATAAACTTTTGGCGCTCCGCATGTATTTCTTGGATCCGCGTCTTGGCCCACCTGCGGCGCCTCTGGTGCCGCCCTGGCGCACTCCGCGCTCCAGGGAGGGGGGTTCCAGCGCGAATCCAAGAAATCCGCGCGGAGCGCCACAAGTTCATTCCCCAATCAGAGCTTGCCTCTGTAGGGGTCCTAGCGGAGTCATATGTGTAGGTGACCTATGTCGCCGATTTCGGTAACCGGGCCTGGGTGCCCGGGTGCCCGGGGGTACCCGGGGGTGCTTGGGTACCCGTGTGCCCAGGGGTGCCCGGAGGTGCCCGAAGGTGCCCGGGGGCTATAGCTTTATAGCTTTGTAGCTCTATAGCCCTATAGCCTAATAGCCCAATCGCCCAATAACCCATGTGGCCTTATAGCGCTATAGCCCTATAGCCCTAGACCTTATGGCCTTCATAGCCCTCGCAGACTTCACAAGCCTAAGGAGCAGTTACAAATGGATCTCATGTAATTTCAAAAAAAGACTCTGATTGGGTTTTCCTCCGGTATCATATTTATGTGTTTTTTCTTCTATTCGAAGAAGCCTTCCCCCCCCCGCCCCCGACCCCCCCGTGCGCGCCGCCAACCAAGGTTGCCTCAGCTTCTCCAGGGAGGCCCAGGCGGCCTTCAGGGCACCCTCGGTCAGAGGTTCGGCTTGGGGACCTTCCTGGGGGTCACCCAACGGATCTGTTCGGTGGAGTGTTTCTCTGAGGGGCTTAGGCGACCCGTCCTCCTCCTCCTCCTCCTCCTCCTGCTCCTCCCCCTCCTCCTCCTCCGAGGTGGCTCCCCAGCGTGGCCCCGCCCCGCCCTCGCGCCGCCATTTTGCCCGCGGGCGGCGCCGCGGGGCCCGCGCCATCGGGAGCCCCCTGGCCCTCGGAGGGCCGCCGAGGCCTGAAGAGGCCTCCTTCGCCCGCCTGGCACAGGCGCCTCAGACGGGCGCGAGGCCAGGCCCGCAGGTGGCTACGAGCTGAACAACTACGACAGTTGCTCGACTCCCACCACGGCAGCATGGCGCCGAAGCAGGACGACTGGAGCAGGTGCAAGCGCTGCCAGCAGCGGTATTGGAATAAGCAGCTGTACGAGAATGAATACTGGTGCACATGTGGATGCCGTATCGCCCGTCCACAGAGCTGGAAACACACGTCTGCAGCGGACTACGGCGACAACTACGGCAGTGGCAAGGGCCAGTACGCGAGCTACCACAACATCAGCTACGACCCAAGGGCCCAGGGCGGCAAGAACGCCATCGGCCAGCAGAGAACGACGTGGAGCAACTCGCGACGGCCCTCAAGACGGTCACATCCACGCTCGGCACCATGCAGGTGGCGACCTCGGACAAGGTCGGGATCGTCAAGCAGCTTGAAGGAGCGGCTTCAGCCCTACCCTACAAAAGGCAGCGAGTTCGTCGGCAGCGCCAGCACAAACGAAGCCAACAACACGACGATTGGCGGAGGCGGCGAAGTCGCTGGAGGAGGCCAACAAGCGGTACAAGTGGGCATTCGAAGCTAAGCAGCAGGCAGACGCCAAATCGGCAAAAGCCAACGAAGCGCTCAACCTGATGGCCGACGAGGTGCTGAAGGCGGAGCAGCTCATCGAGACCATCCAGGCTGAGGGCAAGGAGAAGAACCAGAGCATCTTCGACGCGATCCTGGAGGCGGACACGGACGTCTTGCACCCGTCCGAGATCGAGTTCTCCGCGCTCGGGGAGCACTTCAAGTACGATAAGGACATGGGCGCAGAGGGAAGAGCAGCGGTCGACAACGCCAAGCAAGAATCAAGTTTTGGAGAAGCTCAAGAGGCTGGCGCCCACGTTCAAAAGGCAGCTGGCGGAGCATATGCAGAAGGCGAAACGCAGGCAGAGGAGAGCCGTGCCATCACCGCGCCGGCGTTCAAGAAGCGCAAAGCGGACCAAGCGGAGAAGATCCAGGAGGAGAAGACGGAAGGCCAGGCAGCAGCATCTTCGGCACCACCGCCAAAGTCTACGGCCACGGCAAGCGACGGCGCGCAGGAGGCCAAGGGCTCCAACGTGAGCGAGGCCGAGGAGTTCCTGGAGCGCTGCAGGTCAGCGGCCCTTGGGAAGGGCGAAGGTACCCCTCCCGACGACCACGAGGATGCACAGCGAAGGGGCAGGGGACCTGTTGGCGATGCTGGGCTCCTGGGCCGCGCCATCTTTTCCGCCGACATCGCCGCGTGGGGGCCCGAAGTCATGGGCTGGATGCGTCGCGATGGACTTCGTGAAGGTGCGACGTCTACGCGCTGCAGGGGGCGCGCGTGCCTCGGGCGCAGATCGATAACGTGGAGTGTGACTTGTAGAAGGCGGGCTTCGCGAGCACCTTCACCGCGGCGCGGGGGGGCGAGAAGAGCCCGACGGGCACCGGAGGGGGCGCGGCTGTCACCGCGAATGGGCACCTGAAGGTAGCCTCGTTCAAGCACCGCGCGAAGCCAGGGGCCACCTCCAATGCGCGCGGCCACAATGAGCCAGGTGACCTGGACATGTGCGACTGGGCTCCAGTCGCGCTGCACCTGAACGGGGCGTCGCTGGCCATCGCCCCCCTCGAGGTAGACCCGAAGAGCAGCGCGCGACGCGGCGCGAACGCGCGCGAGTTGACGTCGCTGGCCACCTTCCTGAACTCCCCCTCTATGCCGTGCTGCGGCGACTCCAGCGCGAGTCGCCAAGTATTCTATAAGGCGGGCTGGCCGACAGAACTCGGAGCGACGAGCGTCATGGGCCTACCTGGCGACGTGCGCGCCTGCAACCTCGGCGACGCCTATTCCAACGTCGACTGCGCGCTGGCAGACGAAGGAGGCCAACGGCGAGTACGAGGAGTGAGACCGATCTGCGACGCGCCAGGGAAGCCGCGTGCAGGACTGGTCACCAACATGCGTGCTTTATCAGAAGCCAGCGAGAGCAGGCGGCTGCAACTACCCAGGCCATTCCCGCACCCACCTCGACCTAAGACAGCGCGAACCAGCAAGAAGAGGGCAACGCGCCAGAAACGCGCGCGAGACCACCGCCACCTGAGTTCTCGGAGTCATCAACAAGCAATGACACAGACCACCATCGATGGGAAGCGCTGGGACCGATGGGGTGGGCGACTTACCCACATAACGCACCCAACATTCAGTTGGCCACCGCCATGGGCCAGACGGGCACCGACCCCTTCGAAGACATCCTCGAGTGCCGCCACATGGGCGGAAGCACCCGCGCTGACATGCAGACGAGGCTTGACGCGATCGGCCTCATCTACCAGCAGGAATACAACGCCATCTTCGCCCATCGGGCAGAGGGTGAGATCGAGTAGAACGACGAGAGCGCTACAACCATAGTGTACCAACGCAGCTGTGCTGGCAGGGGCGCAGTTGGCACGCAGGGCGGAGTGCAGAGTGCGTCGACACTCTCGACGACAGATAAGGTCCTGGCCAAAGCAGTCGGAGGCAACGCAGACGCAATGGACAACGCTTGCGTGGTTGGTTGCGTTCTCCAGCACAAGGAAGGCAATCGCAGCGCCCCGGACTACATCGGGAAGAACGCCCGCCCACCGCGCAGACCCAAGGGGCGCAGAGCGCCTCGGACGAAGCTACCAACGCTCCATCGGCACCCCAGGGAAATTTTATTGCATGGCGTACAAGATGGAGCCCAGCGACAGAGCAGCATTCTGCGGACGGGGAGCGCCATATGACCGCAAGGAGCAGCAGCTCAAGGAGAAAGGGGGCCGACGGCACACATTCGCATCACACAGAAGAGACAGGTGGAACCGTACCGAGATGATACTGCGATCACTAGCCAAGCTAAGCGAGCGCCAACACGCATTCCAACAGCAAAGGGGGCCCGCCAGCGCGGGCCGACGACTTGCGCGGGGCGGACATCCCCTACATGTCCGACGCCTTCTGAGACCTGTGGAAGGTCCGTATGGAGCCGCTGGAGTATATCCCACTAGAGACACTGGCGGGCATGGCGGAACAAGCAGAGCAGGAAGTTAGGCACGCACTGCGGGTCGACATGCAGGACGGCAGGCAGCAGCGCGGAGCGCGGCATGTGCAAGCTGGCAAGCAGAGCGGCGCGCTCCACAGTATCACCAAGCCACCGCCACGACGAGAAAGGGAGATGCATACTGGCTCCACGACTTTGTGAAGCCCGAAGGACATGATCGACCGCAGTGCCATTGCGTCCGCGCAGATTTGGAAATGCGACGCAACACCGCGCAACGAGCACAAAGGGTACCTCACCGCCCTCCGCGCCAAGGCCGCCGTGGAGGAAAAGTGCGACCCATGGGTGCTCGGCGACCTCGACAGGTGTATAAAGGGCGAGCCCGACAAGGGCAAGGGCGTGGACATGATTAGTATCGGCGACATCGGACGCCTCCCTGTATCTGGGCGACGGGCGCTGGTCGACCTCTTCAACGAGTGCGAGCAACAACTCGCATGGCTGTGGCAGTTCCTCACGTCCATTGTCATGATCATCCTCAAGCCCGCCAAAGGAGACCGAGCCCTAGCACTACTGCCGCAACTTGTGCGCTGCTGGGAGCTCCTACATCGACGGCGCATTCGGAGATGGACGCGACACCGCGAGCGAGAATGGGACGCAGCGATAGAGGGCAACAGCTGCCCACGATAAGCACTACGGCGCTTCATCACTGACACATGCGCAGACGCACTAGGCCTGTGGGAATCCGTGCATATTAGCGGACATCGGAAACTTCCACGACAGCCTGCGCATCGGCAACGTCATTCCAGCGGCGCTACAGCTCAACTTCCCAGCGAGACCATTCT